TAATTATACCTTGCCTAATGGATTACATAAAACTTCAGGAACACTAATTTTTAAGTCTTCTATAGGTGGAAGATCATCTAATTCATTTTGTATATGCTTTTGCTTCTTTGATACGTTTACTTCCCTTTCTTTCTTTCTGAAAGTTAACATAATTCAAAAGTTTACACTCATATAAAAAGAAATTAAATATATACGTTAATTTTATTTTTATGAAAAGATAACAGTACTTGTTATTAATTTTTACATTATCATCTAGTTCACTGTCGCTGCTACTATCACTACTGCTGCTGCTACTACTACTACTACTACTGCTGCTGCTGCTACTGCTACTACTGCTATCGATACTATTATCAGAATCATCTTCGCTATCATTTTCGTCACATGATAATTGTTTTTCGAATGTACGATATTGCTGTAAATTCTGTATTTGTAACATGGTATGTTCCTTTTCAGTTATAGTATTTGTTCTTATCTCTTCTTCTATTTCTGAATCTGTATCTTCATATTCTATAGCAATAATGTTAAGAGAAGACATTCCATGGTTTCCTGTTAAATAGACATAATTTTAAGAAATTATACAGCAATATAAATATTTTTTGTAATTTCAAATGTACTTATAATATGTAATATATTTTTGTGCAGTATATTATAAATAAAAAAGATATATAAAAAATAAAGATACATAAAGAAGTAGATATAAAAAATGTTTATTAATAAATCAATATATATTTGTACCTGTTTGTTTTTGTAATGATGAATTGTTCACTTGTATCTTATTATCATGAATGCTTAGTTCTGTAACTTGATTAATTACATATTGATTTGTATATTTATTTTGTACTGTGTTAATATCATTTGAAATATTAGACTTTATAATTTTTGGAGATTTTTGTAAAATTTCTTGTCTAACATCAGGTTTTACATTCTCGTAAATAGATATATGACAGTGTTCATGTGCAGCTGTCGCATTTTCCTTTGGAATAAATTGAGTGATATTTTGAATATCAACAGATACATCACAATTATTAATCATGTTTTCTGTTTTATTTGCATCTAATGTTGTCATTGAATTGAGTTTATCACAATCATTTTCTTCATTTACTTGCAGAATCTCAGTGACTACTTTTTCTAATTTTTCATTAGAGATCATTTCTTTGGAAAATTGTTTGCCTAATTGTAATGTCTCAATTTCTTCTTTCGACGATTTTTCATCATGTACTAATTCTTGTGACGTTAATAATTCTATCTCTTTATGGAATATCTTTTTATTTTCTTCTTCTGATATTGACATGTTCGATAATTTCTCTTCATGAATAATTTTATTTTCATCTATATCCGTTGCTATTTCCATTTTAACACTAGCCACGTGAAACTCCAGAAAACGTGTTACAAACTTCTGTATATAAAATCGTAAGTTAACACTGTTGATTATTTTGTATTCTACTTCTTATTGAATTTTATTTTTTCATACAATTATATCATCAGGTAAAAATAATATTTAAGGAAAGAAAAGAAGGAAAATCTCGTTGTTTACTAATGTTGTATTTATTAATGTTGATTTACATATAACCACTTATCACATGTGCCATTGAATTATTAAAGGACATTTAGGATATATCCACAGTCCACTCGATTTGCATAGAAAACATATTCCTAGAGAAAATTATCCAATCACTTTTTCTCTTTCATAAGGACGTACGTAAAATACGATTGGATTTTCTTTGTGCTAATTGGATAATTTTGTTTATGCGACTATGCAAGTTGTGTGGATATGAAAAATATTATCCAAAAATATATAAATGCCACCCAAAAATTTTTGAACTTAAAATAAGATAGATACGTATTTGGTCGGAAAAGAGAAAAAGCGAAGATAGGTTAGATTAGGTTAGGTAACAATATTACAATTAAAATATAAAGTTAGTCTAATATAAAACATTGTGATGGAAACCTGAATAACCAAAAAGAGACTATTAAAAAGAAATAAATTTATTTCCATAATTTATAGTAATAACACATTTTATTATTAGAAATCAGCCATATTGAATAATGGCTTGTCTATAGGAGGCGTTTAAAACGCTCCTTCCACAGCGGATCAGAAGTTTGCCGTCTATACACTTGTATGATCTGTGCGGTTCCTCCCGTTTATCGAATCCACCTGAATCCGCCCCGGAACTTGTTATGAACTTGATAATTTAGCGAGGAACAATGTCAATTAATCTGACGAAAAACAAAGATGCCTTGGTGGCAGCTTGGCACAGCGTGGTCGACGATAAATTGTCTACTAACTGGTAGGCGTATACTTAAATCTCTAAATTGTGTTTCCTCAATCCGGCTATAGCACCGAATCAGTTTCGGCATATTTGCTCATACATGTATAACGTTAAGTTAGCCGGTTATTTTCCGTCGGTATAGAGTTCACAATTCTGAATTCAAACGTATACTCCGATACTGCATACTTTGTTATTTTACATAAATATTGGACTAATTTTAAAAACTACTCCTTACTGTCCGTCTCTCTTGATTTTTATCTTTTGAAACTTTTTTATTCGCTTTTGACAACTATTATCAAGTAGAAAAAAGTACATTAAATATGTTATTTTTTATTTGAGATGGATATTAAACACGTTTATTTATTTTTAATGAACAAAAATAATAAAATAGTATAAGATTGTATGATTGTATTTAAAAACATGAAGATATAACTATATGCCATTGATTGGCCATATTAAATTAGATAAAATAGCTAGCTCACACAACAATTGAACAAAATGATTGATTGGATTTATGGATTAAAACTAATCATGTTTAATTGTTTAATACTTAACTTTGTCAGTTTGAAGTTAAAATGATTTATTGATGTAAAATTTGATCATAATTTTAAAAGAGATCTGATTGTGCACGTTGCTAATTGATCGATTTAATATAAAATATTCTCATGGGTAAAAAAAAAGCAGTGAAAAATTATTATGCACTGACTGATATGATTGACTATCATAATTTTTATCCAAAAATTTTACATTCAAATTTTACAATATATATCTCATAAATCTTTACAGATATTACTTAATCGATTATTCTTTATAACTAAAAATTTTTATATTTTTTATTTTTAACAGGGCTGTATTTGGCTACGAAGGACAGACCAATAACTTAAAAGTAGTCGGAACAGGAGATGGCGGATTGGAAGAGATGATTGATCGACTGAGTAGTAGTCACATCATGTACGCATTTTGCAGAGTTATCGACACTAAAACAAGTCTACCAAAGTGTTTGCTTATTAATTGGGTAAGTATGAAAAATATAGAAATTTATTTATAAAACAATATATTTTGCATTTTTATTAAATTATGAAAAAACATGAGCAGAACTTTCATAAATATTATAATACATAAATTTTATAATAACTTAATTATTTGCTTGACAAAATATTTGCTTATAGCAAGGGGAAGGTGCTCCAATCGTTAGGAAAGGAACATGCGCCAATCACATTAGAGATATAGAAAAATTATTGAAAGGAGCACATATAACAATTACGGCACGTTCCGAAGATGATGTAGAGGTAGATGCAATTATGGAAAAACTTGCGCGAGCAACAGCCTCGGCGTATAAATTTAATGAACCTCGTAGTGAAAACGAAGGACATACAGGTCCTGTTGGAACAACATATCGCAGGTTTCTAATATTTCTATCTTGTGATTGTGGAATCGTTACTAGAATTCTTACTTAATATAATAATGTATACTTTGCAGAGTGATCCCTGCACAAGAAATAAATGCAATGGAAAGGGATCAGTTTTGGGAAAAGGAAGAAATGGAAGAAAAAAAAAGATTGGAGCAAGAACGACTACGTTGTGAACAAGAGCGACAGAAATTAGAACAAGAAATGAGAGCTCGAGAAGAAAAGGAAACACAATTGAGAGAGCAACAAGTATGTTTTAATCCCGTATATTTTTATTTTGATTATACATATATCTCTTATATGTATATTAAATATTATATATATTATCTAAATTCACACATATGAAATATTGTTTCAGGTAACTGCTAAGGAAAATTCAATCGCTCGTCAAAAGTTAGCCGAGCAACGTGCCGAAGAAGCAAATAATTTACGCAATCAAAAAGCTGCTCAAAATTACAACAGTGGTGTTGAAGATGATCATAAATCGCGAAGTGAAGAACTACGAAGACAAAGGAGCAAAGAAACACAACAATTGATTGCTCAAAGAACAATAAACGCTCGAGCGATATTTGAACAGAATTCGGCGGCCGGCCAGATGAAGGCGACTTCGGCACAACAATTTTTACCTAAGAACAATCATGTAGAGTCTATGAGAAAAGCGTTAGAAGAAGCTCAGATAAAAGACCAACCTGATGTAAAGTCTTGCGAGGAGACATTGGCCGAAACAAAAAAACCTACAAATGCGGAAACAGCGACGATTTCTTCGTCCATAGTGCCTCAATCTCAAAATACCAATCAAGAATTGAAAACTATCACCAATCCGCAATCGGAACAAACAGCAGAGACTAAGGAGCAAGTCACTGAAAATGAATTATACAATCAATTAGATGGCTCGTACTTATATTTCGATCCGAATAACGAGGGAATGAAAGCTAGAGCTTTGTATGACTATCAAGCCGCTGACGACACAGAAATCACATTTGATCCTGGAGATATAATCACACACATAGATGCAATTGACGAAGGCTGGTGGCAAGGACTTGGACCTGATGGAACATACGGACTTTTCCCCGCTAATTATGTTGAAGTTATCGAGTACAATACAACATGATAAGATATGCTTTTGAAAAAAATTTATCAAGATCGTTTTCATTTTCTTCATAATTACATAAAACTACTTGTATGTAAGATCAATATCAGCTTATCCCTGATAAATGTTATCAAGTTTCTAGATATAAGTAAAATTGAACTACGTGATGAAATAATTCTGAATAATTAGAAGAAAATTTTGTAATTGAAACGCGAGTAGCATATAATAATTGAAACGCATGTCTTCGTATCATTTTCGCGCCTTCCATGTCATTATTTTTTAATTTTAAAGCATTTACGCAAAGAGTGAGTTAGTGTAAAAATTCAGTTATAAAATCTTTGTAAAGAGATAATTGAAATGTTAATCATAATCAGTAAAAAATGTATGTCTTCCCAGCAGGTCATACAGGTTTTATCCACAATTAATCTTATATATAAACATATATCTTTTTATAACACCCTGTATCAGAAGCTGATATAGCAATAACTAAAATGCATCTTATACGTATGAACGCAATTGTTTTACTGCAAAACTGTAACAGCTACGTATTTAAACATTTATAATTTTTAGAAATACTTTGACTTGTTATAGTTTAACATAAAACTTGTTAGTATTAAAGAACCCACTTAAATGCAAGTTGCTTTTTCATTTTTTATATTAGATTTTTAAATGTTGATGTTATGTCTAAAAAAAAGCATGAAAATGCTTTTAGTTATCGTTGAAACACCGTAAAAAGCGGCAATTAACACATATTAGGTTGATACATATGATAAATTATTTTATTGTATAATAGAAATTTTTAAAGATAATAATGAGATAAAGTAGCATCACAATATCCATGTTACATAAATAAAACAAAGAAAATCATCTCCGATAATTTTGATTTTGTCCGCCACCTCCACTTGCATGAATACTTGCATGGCTCAAAAATGCTAAATGACCTTTTGGACATTTATTAGCATAATGACCTTTCTGTCCACATTTGTAACACGTCACTTCTTCGAGTGGTTTTTGCGGCCCTCGTGACGGAGGTGGTCCATTATGTATATTCATATGATGATGCGATGTACGAGAATCATTGTCGAGCTCCTGTCTAACTTGAGCTTCCCGTACATCGGGTGGCATTTTGTTGCAATAAATCGCTTTATGACCTCCTTCTCCACAAAAGTGACACGTGATCATAACTTTTTTGCCCTCCTTTGGTTGCATATCTTGTATTGCCGGTAATTCGAATCTTGGACTATATAAAAACAGATTATATTGCAAATACAGATTCATGAGATTCAAAATAGATTTCTATAAAAGACTTACGTCTTTTGTATATACTTACTGCATAAATTTACAATTTGGCCCTTCTGGACAAAAACCTGCTAAATAAGCCATACACAGAACACGTCTGACATGTCGATGCCGACATAAAGGACCATGCCTACAAAAACCACGGTCGTACCATGGACAATCTCTGACTTTTGTCTCCGGATCGATGTGTAAGAATGGGCATTCTTTATTGTGACATGCATCTATAATAATTTATTTTGTTTAAATATTGTTTTTTTATATATATATGTATGTATTTTATATATATGTTTTTTATATATATGTGATTGATACAATTTAAATATATAGAATGTTGCATATTTGAATCATTCAGATCGTTTATATTGAAATGTTTAAGTAAAGTTATTTACATGAAAGGAAAATAATTTTAATATAAATATATCAAGCTACTTACTGAATCTAGAATAAAAATAGCATTCTGGCATTTTCGTCATATCATATTCATGCAGAAATTCACACTGATCACCCTTCTTGCAAAGACCTCTTAACCAATGTTTACATACTATCGTACGATCGCCTCGAACATGTCTGAAAGGACACGAAGCTCCTTTATTACAACTGCCTTTCGGATAAAACTGGCATACTGCGGCAATTGATTCTGTAAAGAGGGAGAGAAGATTATTTACTTAAAAGTTTTATATCATTAACATATAAAATAGATCTACTCTCTCTTTTAACGAAATCATACTGTATTTTCTAAGTAATACATAAGATGGAGATTATTGCTTATTATTCGAAAATTTCGATAAATGTTATTACTAAAGGGAAAACCATTTAAAAAAATTGCGGTATTGATATAGTAAAAAATAGTTTGCATATGTAATAGATTGGAATAAAATAATTCAGATAAATATGACATTATGTTACGTTAACCTAACACAAGCAACTGCATACAAATTATATTGTAAAAGAACATACTGTCCATGCCAGTGAAAGGTAACGGAAGAGCTCCATATTGTTCGTCGAGAGCAATCTCAATATCAAATCGCATATGTTCCACATTCGCTACTATACACTCCATTGTTATTGCAAGAATTTGAACAATCAAACACAAAACACTTGTGCCCCATTTAACCTGAAGCTGCCGAGATTGCTGCGTACAGCCAACATTATTCGTTCCAACGAAATGTCACTATAACCACGTGAAGTTAGTCCTGAGTTTGTTGCCAGAACAAAATTTCATTCGATTTCTTCTTCTTCGCGGCATTTTGCATTTGTCTCGATAATGCAAAAGAATAAAATACAAAAATTATAATCATATCGTTATCATCACCAGCTTATTATTGATATGATATTTTATAAGTTCATTTTTAAGTAATATTATAATGATATACTTATGTCTTAATTTACCTCTATTCCATCTAGGAATTGGCTTCCGATATTCATAGGTATTAGCTTTTTTCGTGTGTTGGAAATCCCCAAAAATTTTTGACAAAGCAAAGATTTTAAGTGCAAGAAATGCAAGCAATTATAAAGCAGATTTATTAGTTCGAGTCAAATACATAAAAGATAATGGACATTTTTCAGTAAGGATACATAGTATAACTTACACAGTGAATCATTTCACTGCAGTTGAAAATGCTATTATTGCATGTAACAAAATAAATACGAAATTGCATTAACAATAAGCGCACATGAGAACAGAGAAAAATCTTTAATTTGATATTTTTCCAAATTCGCAATGTCTAATTATAATCTATTGTAATGTCAATGGTGGAAATATTGATGACGTTCACACGTATAATGAAAAATGTTACGTTATCATCGATATGTCATGTATGAAATATCACGAAAATAATGCGACTTGCTTCTAACTCGTTTCTAGCAATGTAAAAAATAAGTTATATTAAGATTAACTTTAATTCTAGTTTAATTTATTTTTTACTTTTTTCTAGTTCTAAGAATTAAAAAAGGATATAAAAATAAATTAAACCGAGATTAAAATTAGTTTATATTCATTGGCAGATCCAGAATTTGTTATTGAAATGGCTATTGGTACTTCACAAATGAAATTTTTTTAAAAGTCAAATATGAAAAGATAGAATATTAAATTATTATTTAAATTATTACATTAAAATAATATTATTCAAATGTATAATTCATAAAACGTCTTATTTAAAATTATATTAACACAAAGAAGGAATATTATGTATAATAAAATATATTTTTTATATATATATATCTAAGAGTTTCTTAAATTAAAAAAATATTTTTGGAATTTACAAAATTAATACAAATATTTAATTTGATCTTTGATTCTCAAATTCATTAAAATAAATTATAATATAAAGTGAAAGGAAGGCAAACGCAATTAATTAATAATATAGCATATATTATTACATAAAAATAATTATTTTATACACAGCTTCTTGGTTAACAATACATTTCGATTTATATTTAAGCCATCCTCAGCGCATATAAATCATGGATTCTTGGTGGTTCTGAATTAATTGTACAATTTGAACATTGAGAAAGAATTCCTTAACAATGTTCAAATTGTACAATTAACTCAGAACCATCAAGAATCCATAACTTCAATTTACTGTTGTATACGCTGAAGATGGCTTAAATTTAAATATAAGTCGAAACGTTTTGTATGTATTGTTAACCAAGAAACTATGTTTAAAATTACTTTTATGTAATAATATATGTTAATAGATATACGGTATAGTTACTGCGTTTGCTCTCAATTGCCCTCATTTCACTTTATAATTTATTTTTGGAATATCAAAATTATGATTAAGTATTTTCGAAATATTAAAGATTTCAAAATAAAAAAAGGAAACTCCAAAGAGAGAATCATGGCCCCCTTCGTGGTTCCGCCAGTGTTTATATATGTATATATAGGTAGAAATGGATATCAGCTGGAGCAGCGATGCTTGACATTTGCCGTTCGCCCCACAGACCGCGAGATGCTGCCATCTGACGATCAGTCGGTAAGTCACGTTTCCGTCACTAGTGTCACTACGTGACAGCAGATTTTGAGTGGGAGAAGTGGGGGAGCGGCGCGAGGAAGAAAATGGCCGACGAGGCTACGGTAAAAGGGCAGGGACGTCGTGCGAGGTGCGCGCTGCGCGACGCGAGATCGTCAGTTTCGCGATAGACCGCGCGAAAAAGGGCCGTGATACCACCGCCGGGGAAGGCCTACCGCCATTGTTCGCAGTCGCGCGTCTTGTCGAGAAATCTCGCGATCATATATCAGGATTCACGGTGCCCGTTCCTCGCTGGTGCCGTCGTCGCTCAGCGCGCCCACCAATCGCTCTCGGGCGCCCGATTCGCCGTTTAAAAAAAAAGCGTTCGCGGGCCGAGTTTAGCCGACGGAAGGGCTCGCCAGAGAGGTAAACACGACACCCCCGTTTACACTGGCGCCTCCGCCTGGTCTCCGCCGTTCTTCCCATCCCGTCCCGTTTTCAGTTCTCCCGCGTTCTCTCCTCGTTGCTAAAGCGTGTGCGTGTGTTGTTCGCGATCGCGTCGCCGCGCCGACCGCGCGCGATCGCCGTCTGTGAAGATTCTCTCCGCGTGCGATTGAGATCGATCAGCAGGTTGGTGAGTTTCTTCTTTCTCTTTCTTTCCTTCTCTCTATTTGTCTCTATCTCTCTCGCACACTTGTCAGGGCCACTTGTGGCCGTGTCCGTTCACGGGCGCTTTTTAAAGGGCGTGCTAGCTGTCGTCGTATAGCCGCCGTCCGGATTTCTTCTCGCTTCATCCTCCGTGTAGATATCATCATTGTCGTCGTCGTCGTCGTCGTCGTCGTCGTCGTCGTCGTCGTCGTCATTGTCGTCGTCACAGTCGTCGTAGTACTTCTCGAGGATCTTTGTCCATCGTGCCATGTCGCGTATACACGTATACGGGGGCCACGCTCGGAGCGCATACTCCGCAAGAAGCTCGGAGTAAAGAAGGCACCGCGAGTTGATTATTTATCGCGCGGAATCTCTCTACCTGTCGCGGTACCGAATCGGCCGACGGGCGCAGTGTGATTTAAAGGGATCGATTTGTCAACAAGTCGATGAGGGAGAGAGAGAGAGTGCGCGCACGGTGGCCCGACGCAACATAGCGGATTCTCGCTTCGCTTGTGAAGTATCATTACAATTTCCGTCGTTCGTGTGCATCTCTCGCGTATGCTCCGATATTCGCGTGCGTTTGCCACTTTATTGTACGTAAATTCGTTTTATTGCACGTTGATAAAAGCGCTTGTAATATCCTTATCGTGTCCCTTTCCGATCGTGTGTTCGTTTCTGTAAAAAATATTTTTTTATCGTGATGTAAAGTCATGTATATCGCAATGATAAAAAAAAACAAGCGATAAAGATAAATTACATTAACGATCGAACATCGACTGTTTTATTGTTAAAACTATAATATTAGCGCGTTTACCTTTTGACCGTTTTATTGTGCATTGTTTACAGATAAAGTCAGCTTGCGAATTATATCGCGATTAATAAAATCTACAATGGCAGTTAGGTAGTTGTAATTAACATTGGACATTCGCGAACTTTGAGCATATTTATATTTATTTTGAAGATGTAAAGAATACAATCATAATGAAGCCGCAGAAGAAGGCTGTTGTTGCCAAAAAGGCAACTAAAATGCCAACAGTCGCCAAGAAACGTCGCACATTTACAGAAAAGACCATGCTGGATATAAAAAAAGAGAAGAAATCAAAGAAAAATGATAAGTTGGAAGATCCAAAGAGAAAAACAGATAATGATAAGAAGAAATTAGAAAAGACAGAAGAGAGGAAAAAATTGGATGACAAAAAGAAACTTACAGAGGAGAAAAAGAAGGAACGATTTGATAAATTAGATGAAAAGAAAAAACAAGTGAATAAAGATAATGAAAAGAAATCTGATAAAATTGACGAGAGGAAGGCAGAAAAAAGAGATGATAAAGTTAACGAAGAGATGAGCCAAGATAATACGGATAAGAAAAAATTACAAAGATGTGAAGAGAAAGCAAAATTGGAAAAACAATCTGCGGATAATAAAAAGAAAATTGAGAAAACTGAGGACAAGAAGAAGAATGTTAAATTGGACGATAATATCAATACCGAGGACAATGTCAAATCTTTAAATGCATTGGAAGATAAGGAATTACTTGAAAATAAAATTGATATTCTTCCTCCCCCAGCTAAGAAAAGGAGTAAAGATGACAAGAAGAAAGATGTCAAGTTAATTAAATCTGATATTAAATCAATATCGAAGAACTCCATCATGAAGGATAAAAAGTCTGAACGTAAAAAAATTTCTGAGAAGGATTTGGCAAGCAATAAGATTTCTAAAACGAAAAAAGATTCCAAAACAAAACAAAATCAGAAAAAAGGTATTACGAGAAAAACAGTTTTGACAAAGAAGCCTCATTTATCGGTAGTTAAGAGATTGGTGGATAAGAAGATCAAGTTAGTCAAGTCAGTGAAAGATGAAGAAATGAGCGAAGATGAAGATGCAGTCAAGAAAGTGAAGAAGAAGAGTAGTAACTTGACTAAGAGTAAGACTTTGCAAGAGAAAAAACCAAAGCTGGCGAAACACATGAAAGCCAAATTGCCTCAGAAGCATTCGAAGATTAGTGCTGTTCTAAAAAGAGAAGACAAGTTGAAAACTATAACGGAGAAGATTATGACCAAGAAGAAAATTGAATTGAAAGAGTTTGACCAAGTTTCGACCGAACATAAAAAGATCGCGAACAAAAATGAGACTTGTCAAGGACCAGAAGTGAGCAGCATTAAAAGCGAAATTGAAGAAGACAAGGATTCCGATAAGTGCAAAGAGGAGAGTCTTCAACCAAAACTACAGGATAATAAGAAAGCTATCAAAAGTGGTAACAAAATTAACAGCAAAGCCCCAAAGAAGACTGGGAAAACAATAAGGGTACAAACGGAGAGCAATAATCAAACGTCAGTTTTATCTGAAGATGCATCTATCGAAGAATCTAATAAACAATCTAAAATTTCAGAAGATAACGCGAAATCTATCACAAATTCCAAACAGGAACAAATTAGCGCTGAGAATACGGTTGAATTAAATTTAAAGGTTGAGGCAATGAATGGTGAGAATG